AGATAATGAGGTATGCCACCTGCTCTGAGAATCTTATTTCACTGTGAACGCATCAGCTTTAGCTTAGAGAAAAAGAAAGGCAGCCTGTACGTAATGGCAGTGTTCCATCCAGCCTTCTAACAGCTGCATGCACGGCTGGCACACACAGCTCCGCCTGGAACCAATGCTGTATTTGAATTCATCCCAAATGTTTCTTGTTTACCTTCTGAGAAATAAAAAATGTAAATTCGATGTGTCATCTCATTCTTGCCTGGGGTTATGTATTTATATCTTCACCAATAAACTTTTCCACAAGTTGTAAATTATATTGAATTATAAAAAAGTAACAAAGTGCAATAAAATGTAACAACCATTCAATAATTTAAACAAAATAAATTACCGTAAAACTAAACAGAACACTGATTAGGTCATGATTGAAAACATAGGATATGAGCATGCATGCTGTATGAGAGCTTTGGGGATGGAGAAAGTATAAACTTTCATGGATCAGATTGTTAGCAACTTTCACACCTCTTTGCCTGTTATAAGAACAGCTAAAACGTCCAGTCTAAAACAAGTCCCAAATTCAGTTACTATGTAATAAACCAGTCTCATAATAAAGAAAACAAAAAGCTTCCTTTACTTTCTGTGAATGAGCTTAATCTTCCTTGATTTGTGTCTCATATGCTCCCCCTCCCAGACACTGCAGCTCACAGTGGGAGAGTTTCAGCAACAAAGGCAGTGCTGTCAATCCAGAAAGCAGTGGGTGGGACTAGGTGTGATCAGGTGTTGATTGATAAGTTACAGGCTGGTGTATTGCAGTGACAATTTATTGGGACACCCCTTCAAATCATCAAATTCAGGTGTTGCAATCACCTCCATGGCCACAGGTGTATAAAATCAAGCACTGAGGCATGCAGACTGCTTCTACAAACATTTGTGAAAGAATGGGTCGCTCTCAGGAGCTCAGTGAATTCAAGCTTGGTACCGTGATAGGTTGCCACTGTGCAATAAGTCCATTGTGACATTTCCTTGCTACTAAATATTCCACGCTCAACTGTTAGTGGGATTATAACAAAGTGGAAGCAACTGGGAACAACAGCAACTCAGCCACGAAGTGGTAGGCCACGTAAAATGACAGAGCGGGGTCAGACCATACTGAAGCGCACGGTGCGCAGAAGTGGCCAACTGTCTGCAGAGTCAATAGCTAAAGACCTCCGAACTTTATGTGGCCTTCAGACTAGCTCAACAACAGTGCATAGAAAGCTTCATGGGAAGGGCAAAGCATCAGATGCAGTGGTGTAAAGCACACCGCCACTGGACTCAGTGGAGACACTTCTCTGTCTGACAATCCAATGGATGTGTCTGGGTTTAGTGATTGCCAGGAGAACAGTACTTGACTGTCTGCAATGTTCCAAGTGTAAAGTTTGATTGAGGGGGATTATGGTGTGGGGTAGTTCTTCAGGGGTTGGGCTTGGCCCCTTAGTTCCAGTGAGGGAAACTCTTAAGGCGTCAGCATAACAAGACATTTTGGACAATTTCATGCTCCCAACTTTGTGGGAACAGTTTTGGGATGGTCGCTTCCTGTTCCAACATGACTGCGCACCAGTGCACAAAGCAAGGTCCATAAAGACATGGATGAGAAAGTCTGGGAAACAGGAACTTGAATGGCCTGCACAAAGTCCTTACGTCAACCCAATAGAACATCTTTGGGATGAACTAGAGCCAGGCCTTCTCGCCCAACATCAGTGCCTGACCTCACAAATGTGCTTCTGGAAGAATGGTCAAACATTCCCATAGACACACTGCCTAAACCTTGTGGATAGCCTTCCCAGAAGAGTTGAGGCTGTTATAGCTGCAAATGGTGGGCCAACTCAATATTGAACCCTACAGACTAAGACTGGGATACCATTAAAGTTAATTTGCGTGTAAAGGCAGGCGTCCAAATACTTTTGGCAATGTAGTGTACTTTCAACCCAAGCAGGCACATTCCTACATGCGATGGACAACCCTGTTTTGAGTTCAGGGTCAGTGCAGCCAGGGGCGGACTGAGAACTCATGGGGTCCCCGGGCAATAGGGGATAATGGGGCCCCTGTGTCCTTGCCCAAACTCAAAAAAGCCTATGAAAAAGGTACCAGGGGCATCTCAAGGAGATCAGTAACTGTGCCAGCTATATTTCCATCACCATTAGTTTCCTTTAATGGATCATCTGTTTTAAATTCCAACTTGGCCTCTGATAGATATTTTAAAAAACACTTAAAATATTTCATGTGTATGTTGTATAGTGGCTAGCATTACAGTTTGACATACAATTATCTAAAATGGCAGCTATAACAAACTGTTCATAAATCAAAATTAAATAATGAAGACCTTTTAACAAATTTGACCCTGGGTTCACATCTGTGTGGGTGGTGCCGCTGCGGATCCGCATGAAAATCCGTGCAGCCGCACACCCGCACAGAGAAATGGTACTAATGGCACGCCGCCCGCACTGAAAAACGCAACTGTACTGGGAAATGAGGTTCCCGTGTGGGCTGCGTTTTCCAAAGAAGTGCAGGGACTTCTTCCCCGAGTGTCACGGGCATGGGAGCCCATTCAAATGTGCAAAACACAGTCCGCACGGCCGCATACATGTGAACCAGGGGTCAAGCGGAACTAAACCCATCAATTTAATGGTTTCAAAAAACAGTCAGACCGGAAATACTAACTGGTACATTTGCTTGTGCTTTCAACCAAACTGTCAAACCATCAAATGGCTGGAATCAAAACATGTGCAGCATCATGGCAGTTGCAGATCAAACACAGGCCAAGATGGCAGCTTTCTCGACTGGAAAAGATAGGAGGGTTTAGTTCCGCTTTATGAGAAAAAAAATTCCTCATATCCCAATATACATCAACAGCGATATTTTTTTTTTTGTCTGAGCCAGCATATCAGTCTAGGAAGTATATGCTTATCCTGGATGATGCCTGAACAAAGATGGCTCTCTCTCTCTTGGGAGAAAAGCAAATGAATGCATGGGGTACTATGATCACTTTGAGCAATAATAAATACCTGTTAGACTTACACGTGTACTTACCATGCATGTAATTACAGTGTATACAAGGGCAAAATTACAAAAAAAAAAAAAAGATTGTATTCAACACACCTGTCCAATACATACACAGTTAAAAATGCTGCAAGCACACAGATATACAGGTGAAACTCGAAAAATTAGAATATCGTGCAAAAGTTCTTTTATTTCAGTAATGCAACTTAAAAGGTGAAACTAATATATGAGATAGACTCATTACATGCAAAGCAAGATAGTTCAAGCCGTGATTTGTCATAATTGTGATGATTATGGCTTACAGCTCATGAAAACCCCAAATCCACAATCTCAAAAAATTAGAATATTACATGCAATCAATAAAACAAGGATAGTACATAGAACAATATCGGACCTCTGAAAAGTATAAGCATGCATATGTACTCAGTACTTGGTTTGGGCCCCTTTTGCAGCAATTACTTCCTCAATGCGGCGTGGCATGGAAGCTATCAGCCTGTGGCACTGCTAAGGTGTTATGGAAGACCAGGTTGCTTCAATAGCGGCCTTCAGCTCTTCTGCATTGTTCGGTCTCATGTCTCTCATCTTTCTCTTGGCAATGCCCCATAGATTCTCTGTGGAGTTCAGGTCAGGCAAGTTTGCTGGCGAATCAAGCACAGTAATCCCACGGTCATTGAACCAGGATTTGGTGTTTTTGGCAGTGTGGGCAGGTGCCAAGTCCTGCTGGAAAATGAAGTCAGCATCCCCATAAAGCTTGTCTGCGGAAGGAAGCATGAAAATCTCCTGGTAGATGGCTGTGTTGACCCTGGACATAATGAAGCACAGTGGACCAACACCAGCAGGTGGCATGGATCCCCAAATCAACACAGACTGTGGAAACTTCACACTGGACTTCAAGCATCTTGCAGTGTGTGCCTCTCCATTCTACCTCCATACTCTGGGTCCTTAGTTTCCAAATGAGATGCAAAAGTTGCTCTCATCAGAAAAGAGGACTTTGGACCACTAAACAAGAGACCAGGTCTGTTTTTCTTTAGCCCAGGTAAGACGCTTCTGACGTTGTTTGTTGTTCAGTAGCGGCTTGACAAGAGGAATAGGACATTTGAAGACCATGTCCAGGATCTGTCTGTGTGTGGTGGCTCTTGATGCACTGACTCCAACCTCAGTCCACCCCTTGTGAAAGTCCCCAACACTTTTGAATGGCCTTTTCCTGACAATCCTCTCCAGGCTGCGGTCATCCCTGCTGCTTGTGCACCTTTTTCTTCCACACTTTTCCCTTCCACATAACTTTCTATTAATGTGCTTTGATACTGCACTTTGGGAACATCCAACTTCTTTTGCAATTACCTTTTGAGGCTTTCCTTCCTTATGGAGGGTGTCAATGATGGTTTTCTGCACGACTGTCAGATCAGCAGTCTTTCCCATGATTGTGATTCCTACTGAACCAGACAGAGACCATTTAAAGGCTCAGGAACCCTTTGCAAGTGTTATGGCTTAATTAGCTGATTAGAGTGGGACACTTTGAGCTGAGAATATTGCACCTTTTCACAATATTCTAATTTTCTGAGATTGTGGATTTGGGGTTTTCATGAGCTGTAAGCCATAATCATCACAATTAGGACAAATCACGCCTTGAACTATCTTGCTTTGCATGTAATGAGTCTATCTCATTAATTAGTTTCACCTTTTAAGTTGCATTACTCAAATAAATTAACTTTTGCACGATATTCTAATTTTTTGAGTTTCACCCGTACCTTCTGATCTTGTCAGAAATCCAAGCTCCTAACTAACATCCTGTGCCCTAAGGCTGTGTAGCACTGGAGACCCAAACCTCAGCATTGCCCAGCTCATTTCTGTGGTCTACCTAGTGTTGTAAAGCTGCTCCTACATATATATACAGTAGAGTAAAGGAGTGTTGTCTCTCTAGACGAGTTTGAATTTGGGTTCGCCCTGAATCCATGTTCAGCTGAACTTGGAAGCAGGGGCGGACTGACCATTTGGAAACTCGGGCACTGACCAAGGGCCCGGGGTCAGTAGGGGGCCCCATGAGATGCCCCTGGTACCTTTTTCATAGGCTTCTTTGAGTTTGGGCAAGGACACAGAGGCTCCATGATCCCCTATTGCTCGGGAGCCCAATGAGTTGTCAGTCCACCCCTGCTTGCAAGGCAACTGTCAGTGCTAGGCCAATGAGCTTTGGCCCAGAGCTGTGGCAGTGGCCCCATGTGGTCATATTAGGTCAACGATGTCACAAACATCACCAGTCTTTTGTGTGCATGCAGCTACAGGGAATGTCCCAGTTGCAGCTCATTGGTTAAAGAATGACAGCTATCTTCTGGGTTTGGCTGAACACAAGTTCTTACCAAACTCAAGATCATCATTATTTATCACTTTAGGACAGGAAGTGTGTTACTTGCAGGACCAACTTAAATGCAGGAAAAATATTTTTAAAAAAAATCTATAGCTGTCACCTCATCTGTAAACCTTAAATTACATTTTTGTTTATGAGTTTAGATTCACTTTAACATATTTTTGATGCTAAGCCCACATTAAGTAGTCACGTTCTAATACACAATTATATAAGTCTGGATGAACTACGCCGTAAACAAGGTGTTAAGCTAAGCAGTCACTTTTCCCATTAAATTAAGTAGCCCGGTTTGATTACTTTTTGCATGAAGTACATTTTAAATTCAGATTCTGCCACCTTTAATTTTCTTTCAGCTGTAATGTTACCTACAAATACTTTTTAAATAGGAGCTGGCAGTGCGAGTGGAAATAACTGGAAAGATTATGAAGATTCCAAGAAATGGCACATCTAGTAAAATACAGACGGCTGAGGTTCCAATCTTCTGTAGTTTAAAGTCAATTTTCAGCCTAAATCCACTATAATTGAGCCATCTGGCAATCCCACCAAGTGTGGAGTAAGTCCCCATTGGCCTGACACCCTCAAAACATGCAAAACTATGATAAACTATCTTTATGCATTCTTAAAGGGGCTTTGTCAGTGGGGGAGGGGGGGGGAGTCACACTGTTGAGGGTACAAAATGCACATGCCTGCAGAAACCTTCTAAACCTTCCTGTTAAGGCCAAAGCTTTTTAGTACTTTCTGAATATTTTCTGGCTTATGCCGGCCATAGATGGGTCAAAATTCGATCGATGTTTCGTTCCAAAATCGGACCTAAGAATAATCGGCTGATTTTCGCTCTGTTAGTGGGTCAATGGCACTGGCCGATTTTTGTGGTTCCTCCCCTTTTTTCGGTGATCGGGCATGTTGAAAAATTGGTGAAAAACAACCGATTTTTGACTCAATGATGGTCAAATCATACGATCGTTTTTCTGAAAAGAATATGCACATGAGCCGTGACCTGGAAGGAACAGAAGTTTCGCCTGTTATATGGAGTGAACTTTATGACTTGGTCGGCCGATTTTCGAAATCATTGATGGCACCATTGGATTACCGAGCGAACATTGTTTTCGATATTCGGACAAAAAATCGTTCGGTATTCGACTCATGTAAGGCCTGCATTAGAGTAGGTGTTTACTGTGTGGCAGAGAATTAAAGGGAACAGGTAACACAACTCCTGGCTTTTAGAATTTTGTTTATATAAGAGTGGCCAGCAGTTACAACACAAAGTCTTCTCCGATATCACCTTCAAGTGGTTAGGCACTTCTAATAATAGTGTAAGAATACAGGGCTTACATACAGGATGTTGCGGGAGATGTGCTTCCTTAAAATGGTTGTAAACCTCTGAAATGACAAAATGAACAGAGCATATCCTTGTATAGTGTGCATTGGCCACAATCCAAAGAGCTAAGTTTGATTGCTGTCTCCTCTCTCTCCCTTCTGTTATTTGCAGTAATCACTTCTGACAGGTTATCTCGACACAACAGGGTCTCAGGCAACGACCCTGCCTAACCTTCAGCACGCAAAAGGTGACTGACAGATTAAGCCGTGCTATTTCCCTATGAGACTTTCTATAAGGGGCTGTGTCCTTTCCATCCATTTAGTGCAGGTGGGGACTATATACTGTATATCCTCCCTGCTTCCAAGATGGCCACTGGAATCTCAAGCGAACTTTGTTCAATTAAACACAGGCTCTTCCAAAATGTCCACTAGAGTCTGTGGCACAGGACACATTGGTCCTATGCCATGTTCCCCTAGCACAAGTAGTAACACGTGACCACTTTAACAGGCAACAAGCAAGATATGACTGAGTGATCCATCACTTCCTGCCCTGCTAGCCTGACTTTGTTGCAGCAGCACCCACCGCTACCACCTGCCTACAAGATACGTCTATACATTTTGTTTTGTCCAGTGAGGCTATATACCACAGTGATGGGTCAATAGGAATGTGTTTTTGAAAGGCTTATGGGTAAGCTCTAACACTAATCAGAAATGGCAGAGCCTTGCCTAAGAGAATGGCTAGTTATTTAGAGTCAGGAGTAATGTCATATTAATTAGGAGCATATTTTCACGTGGGTTAGTATTTTTTTTCATTACGTAAACTTAGGTATAAGAAGAGGACTAAGGGGACAGTTCATTAAAGGTTATCGCATGAGTTATTTTGGACAGGTGACCATATATTGCATGCGATACTGAAAATTCTAATTCACTATTGCTAGTATGCGGTATTTACCCCAAGTAGCAAAAACACTTGGTAAATACTGCATAAAAAATAAATGCATACAGTAATTAAGTAGTGGTGGAGGTGCGGTATCTACTGGTTGTTAGTGAGCAGGTGGCCGCTGGCATCCTAAACAACCGGTAAATGTCATGGTTGCTACGAAGCAGCCACGTCCTTAACAACCGATGAGTCATCAGCTGTAAGCGGGGTTTCCCACTGACAGCTGAATGTAAAAAAAAATATTGCCAGCAATCAAACATTAAGAGAAAAAAAAAGGCATGGGGTCCCCCCTGTAGCAATCGTACCCACAGAGATGGACCCGATTCAACCATTTTGCTCCAACCCTCCATCTTGTAGATCTCTCTCCCCCTCTTTGCTCATCTCCCTCCCTCGCTGTGGGGTGACATGTGGCCTAAGTGATGGCACAGGTCACAGGCAGCCAAGCACAGCAGGGAGCTCCGAGCTATACAATCCCAATGGAGCTGGGGTCTAGCTGTCTGCTAGATGTGCAATCTCGGATATCGTAAAAGCGTAAACCAAGCCCTTCACTGAGTTCAAAGACATTCCAGAGAAGTAATAAACTAGATACCACATTCAAAATCCATTTTCCCCCTATGATTTCATATCTTGGAATATGAGAGACTTACATAAAAACCAGGCATATTGTCAGATTGGTTAAGTTAATACAAACCATTTGATATATTATATTCCCTAGCTGGAATATATAGGAGGGCAGGAAAGTATATCTCCTGAACCATTCAAGTGTATATAACATGTTTCATCTCTAACCATTCCCCAGATGCGGCTGAGTATTAATATACTAGTGACCAGGCCGGCAAATGCCCCTAGAATAAGTTATGAATCCTAATATAAACTAGGAGGGATTTTTGTTCTAGCTTGGGTCTCTACCTACACCTCCCTCCCCAAAAGGAGACCATTGGTTCTCTGTTGTAAGGAAACACCCTGCTGAGATCCTAGAAAAGGGCTGTTATGCTTGGAGTTAGGTGTGAGAGAGTTGAAGAGTCTCCCTGTAACATCAAAACTATCAGTAGGAGATCAAAGCATCCTTTTGACTTTTGAAACTTGAAGCTGCTTACACCAAGGCTGACTGGCAAGTACTTTAACCCTCTAAATTCCTTTCTGTTATATCTTTGCTGTGCCATTGTTCTCTGTATATTTATATATATATATTGGCTACATCTTTTTCTGTAAATATTTTTTATTGCACCCTTTTGACCTTTTAGTAATAAATCTTACTTTCTGAAAGTGTTTAACAGTTTCTAAGGCTTTTAATGCAAACTACAAATTCCTGCCGCTGAAGAGCACTACTGTGTGTGTTTAACCCTCTGTATAACCTGCCTGTGGTAACAGTGGTATACAAACGATTATTTCAACCATCATAGTGTTATTGCTGATATTGCCAAGTTTCCTCTTTCTCTGTACAAAAAGAAGGTAGTGGCAGTGTGAAGGGTTACTTGCGTAATTAACCTGACCCAGTAGCAATTGCGCTCAGGATGCTGGTACATTGGTTGTGGTCCATTAGCTGGAAAATTGTTGTGCAGGGTGCAGTTGGGTGTGGCATTGTTACGCACGTGACATCGCGGTTTTAGATTGGCTAGTCCTTCGGTCACGAGTTTGATGTGAAGGGCTGGGATCTGACGTTGCGATCGTCACACCCCCAAAATCCAAACCAAACTCTTATCTGAGCATACAGCCCAGCAAGTCAGGAAAGGAAGGGGGTAAGCGACCCATACCAGGCCACATGCCCTCAACAAGGGTTTGCATGGTACCCCTACTCATTCACCAAAAAACGTGTAGTGTAAAAAACACAGATGGAAGTTTTTCATAGGTCATTTTTTAAAAAAACAAAAATAAAACAATGTCCCCCAGTGTAGATCCATTGTCAATCACGATGTCCGCTGCCACCGCTGAACCGAAAAAAAAGAAAAAAAAGGCTCCACTCTCAACAAAGACTCCCCCCATCTGACAGCTCCGTCACCTGAGAGTTCCTAAATAACTATGGGGTGTGGCCAGCTGACGGCATTACCACATGCTTTCACTACTAAAATACTGCATGACTAACAAATGCAGAATTTTGTAGCATTTTTTAGTGAATGCCAACATTAAAAAAAAAAAAAAAAACACTGTGTGGTATCTTACCACATACTTGGATGTGGTAAGATACTGCTTTGTGAATTGTCCCCACAGTTTGTTATACTATTTTAGCAGGTAGTCCAACAGATCCTGAGGTTTTATTTTGTTTTAAGGGATTAGGCACTATGAGTTCCTTCAATAAGCAATAATGGATGCTCTGGTGTAGTCAAAACAGATAGGGGGTTAGGTGCTTGGACAGCTGAGAACATGATTTTGAACAGGTGTTAGGTAGAGGTACATACCTTTTAGTTATATGTATATACAGCTTTCTTCCCACCAATTGCAGAATAATTTTTCCAGGCATGGTGCCGGTGTCAAGGGAACATTAATGTATGCTTCCAACTTGACAGCTAGGAGCGTGCACAAGAGTGAGTTCCTAACTGTCAGTCTGCACTGTCTCTGACAGCTCCAGTCTGAGCTAACATTTGGGAACCATGCTAATCATC